AAATACACCTCTAAATAAATGCACACTTAAAAAAATGAAGCGAAATCAAGTATAACAGGTAAGAACTTCGCGTGAGCGGCTTTCTTATTAAAACTATTTCAGAGGAAGGCTCGGTCTCAAGATGAAGTTAACAAACATGACAATAGAAGAAGAATATTGTCAATTTCAAACTAGCGTTACTTTACAAGTCTTATTTTATATGGCCTGAAGTTATTGTCATGACATTAGTTGAATCCCTTCACAGTGACGCATTTTAGAATCATAATCGAAGTATTTCTGACTGGGTTATTTATTTATTATTCTCTCTGCCCCTTCATTCAAAATGTGCATTTACATGTGATGAAATCCATCCATCCATCCAAATCCTGAACCCTAAAGTCTGCACGGCCAACCGCCAAAAATCGAAACAAACCACTGTCACGGTGCGCTCAGTCAGCTTTCTTCTCTGCAGTTTCTTCTGCCCCTGAATGTGAAACCCAAATGGGCTCAGTCCCACCGCAGACGTTGCATCCGCACCGGCAGATAAGAGATTGATAGGCGGCTGCCGATGATGTGCCGATCATCTAGTGGGGTCTGTCAGCCGCAATATTGCGGCAAATGTTCCACACAAGCCGCCACAGGATCGCACGGCATCTGTGGCCTTGGCTCTCGCAGCGTGGGATAAGCGTAGCAGTGTGCACACTAGAAACAGGTTGTACACACAGTCTCCCCAGCAAATATTGTTCAGGGTGACCTGCTTCCACCTTCAACGGCGAAAAAAAAAAAGAAAAAGAAAAAGATGATCTATTCGGAATGTGACAAGCACTGTCACATTTTATGCCCACGTTCACCGGATGAATCATTGATGCACTAGTGCTTTGAAATGAATCCGTTTAAAAGCCCGAAGGAAATTCACAACAGCCAAATGCCACGACGGAATCATCTGTGATTTTTTTTTTCAGACTAACAAAATAAAAGGTGACAATTTTTTTTTTTTTTAGGCTTATTATATTGTAGTATTTAACGCATTCACACACATTGTGGCTGTGGGTGTTGATCAACTGCAGACAGCCTAAAGGCATCCATTGTGATTGTACAATTTACAACACGGATAAAATTGGTAGATTGCAATTTATGACACTGTGAAAGTGGCGGACTGAGTGGAATTAACAAATCACAAAGCATGAACGTACACAACACTGTTAATTAATCGGTCTCCACCCAAGTTTGCCTTTGCCCAATAGTGAAAAGGAAACTCGTTTCCAATATTCTGTTACGTCTGCCCTCTTGAAAAAATACCAAGCTGGTGTATAATAATTACAGACAAAAATGAAAGCGAAGGCTATTTTCACCATAGTTCTAATTAGTTTTTCAAACATAAGATGTTTCAATTAGCATTTTTTTAAAGCAATCTTTTTTTTTTTTTTCATTAACAAACATTTGTTTTCAATTTTAATTTGAGTTATTTTTATTCATTTTCGTTGTCCTGGTGCAGACATCAATTTTGAGTCCGGAACTATAACGCAAGTGCCAATTTTTGCCCAGTTTCGGCGGCCCTTTAATTAGTAATGTCGGTGATTCACAACCACTAACGTGAAAATGGTACGCCCAAGTTTCCTGCAATACATAAGAAAAAGTGAACATCTTTTTATGAAGGGCCTCTACTCGACAGGATGCGGTGTGCTACTATGTAAGCCCTTTAGTTACGTTCGATGACATCGTGAGTCTGTCTCTACTGCTTAGCTCGGAGGGATTTTGGGGGAGGGGTGGCAAGTGATAGGGTGCCTATCTGATTTGGGATGCAACATCAGGCCACCAGCCAATCTTCTCATCTCCTGCAGAGCATTTTTTTTTTAACCAAGGACTGCTGCAGACTATCAAATATTCAATAAAGGTTTATTTCCCAAAGGCAGGTTTCTCTCCCATGGTGTGGGATGAGCATGATTTGCTGCGGTTTCTGAATTATTGCACATTCAGGGTATGGAGGTAATCGTGGTTGTAGTTTTACCCTCTCCAAACACAGGCGGTACAATTTTCCGCTGTGATGGATCCTTAATACACGCACATGCTTTATTCCTTCACGGAGGACTTTTTTTTCCTCTTGGTGGACCTTGCAGAGGTTATCTTGGTTCACAATTCTGGTGAGAATCTGCTGCATTTCTTGTTTGTTTGTTTTTTGCAACTGATAGTAAACAAATTGAGAGGCATACACATAAATCTGCAAAGAATAAATATTTAAATAATGTCAAACTGTGGCTTGAAACAACATTGCTGCATATTTTTTTGTGCTCACTGTAGCCTAAGGCAGTATTTGTATTTATTTGTTACCAAATGCTATTGTGATAGATAGTGGCATACCCTTGGGAATAAAACTAGCACATCTTGATTTTCGTGCAGGTGCAAGGCTCGTTTAGCATATTTGGGAATTTGACAGACTGCACTGCACCAGGCTGGACATTCCGGCAAACAAGGGCAACATGCCCACGGTGCATCTGACAATTTGTTGGCAGAAAATAGACTATTTTTTTAGACCACCTAAAAGCAGGTCTAAGTTGTGGCTCGAGTGGTGTCATGCGATTTTGGTGTATTTGATCTCGTTGCAAGAAGAGAGACTGAACTTTGCGGATGTGTGTGGTGGATGTCATTTAATTCATAAATATGATGACAACATGGGATAATCCTTCTGAATCATTGTAGAAATCAATTCATTGATGCAGCACCGTTTGTTTGGTTGTAACACACCAACGCACGATCAGGGGTGTGAAGCGGTCTGCATGTGGCCAACTTTACATTATCGGCAAGTGAAGATCTTTTTCATGTCGATTGCGTCTATCTCCTGCGTGGACTCCGGTGAATCTGTTTATGTTTCCGCCATGCTGTGCCTCTCTTGCTTTGAATTAAACGTGAATGAGAGGAGCCGCTAGCAAGTCAGCTGAGGACACTCCCACAACAGCGCAAACACTGGTTTTGACATGTCGATGAAAGTACCAAAATAAGGAAAACGCCACCCGTGTACACAGTATAAGACACTTTGCGCTACACGTCTTTCAAAACCAATCTCTAAATTCACCAACAGAGTCTTTAAAGTTAAATTTCAAACTCATGTAACCCGAATAAAAATGTGCCGCACAAAATAAGTGTGTTTTACAGGCCCTATCGAGTCAATGTCAACTAATTTGCTGTCCAACGAGAGGTACATGATGTCAGCCATTGGAAGTTTCGTTCTATCTGTGCAGATCGCCGTTAAACAACTCCTCAAGGCAGTATTTAGCAGACAATGCTTGCATTGAGACAGCCGAGGTTACATGAGTCACTATATGTTTGTCGCTCCAGTGATGTATGTAAAAAGTCCTCTTTGTGCATCGTCAATATTTGTACAGTCGTATAATCACAGTGGGTGTTCCAAAGCAGTCAGTTGAGACAATCAATGCCAAGCGACACTTGGAACAACAGGCAGTCAGTGTCTGTTTGCTTGTTTGACAGACTGAAAGGAGGCTTGGAGCACATGATTTAACAAGAGATGGCAGTGGCATAACTGTACATGTATGAATGTCGCATGTCATGACATCCACAGTTCAGCCAAATGACTGATCACTGCCATATACGCTACACAGACTGTACACCGGAATATTCCTTGCGCGACAATCTTAAATTATTAATTGGACTGTTTTACAGCTCCTTTTAACTTCCATGTCTAGACACGAGAAGCATCAGAGGGAAGACATGTTTTGATGATGTGATGATTCAATTATGGATGGGAAAACCTTTTCACCGTCAACAAAACTGCTACGTATCATGCCATCATTTTACATCTCAATAATCAGTCGTGTATCAGAATTTATAAAGGTCGGTCAATAAACCCATGTATGAATGATGGACATTTCTTGTTACTCACATGAACTGGCATTTATGCTGATAGACTCACTCAGTCTCAGTTTCCTTCCACTCATGCATGCAGACACACACGCACATACGCTCGCACGCACGCATGCGCGCGAACACACTTTCGGACACACTTTCGGATCAATTCTGCGGAATGAATGAAATGAACAATGAGGGCAGACAAATGAACCTACATTTAAAAAATAGTCCATTTCACACACCATGCATTTTCTTATAAGCTCATTAGGTACACTTGTAGGCACACAATCTAAGCGATTGCAAATAATTATGTTCAATTTTGGTCATCACAATCGGAGAGGCGTTCATTGCACAACATGCTTTTAAAGGGATGCTGTCCCGTTTGCACTGAGGTAAAGTAAGCCCTTTATGTGCAAGGAACCAGCTTCATTTGGTGTTTAAAAGGGATGTCACAATATAGAATTCGTGTTTTTGGAGTCTAGGAGGAAGCCGGAGTATGTCATTTCCACCCCACCACCACCACTACAAAAAAAAAAAAAAAAGAGCCAAGATTTGAACCCTAAACCTCAAAAACTGCCTTGCCCCTAAAACATAATTATACGGATTCAAACTGTGCGGGGGAAAGGTTACAAGACACATAATGTCAAAAGGTTTTAAACTTGGACTTCTTAATTATTTCAATTAGCACCCTATGAAAAGTAAAGTGAGACCTCAAAATAGACAGAAATGTCATCTCCAACTACAGGTAGGGACCATGGGGCAGTAACTATCATTTCAGGTAATTATTTCTTTATAAAAGTGCTTGGTGGAACAAAAATTGGAATATTTTCTATTCATTGGCTCATGATCATTTGTCTTTGGGTTGGTGTTTGTGGGTTTTTTTTTTGTGTGTGTGTGTGTGGGGGGGGGGTGAATATCTTTGTGAGAAAAATAATCAGATTAGATGGCTCATTGATATAATGGAAGCAAGAGAAAGGTATAATTATGGGCAAAGCGATTTTGAATTCATTTTCATAATGCTGAGAATGTCCCAGCAGAGGTTCGTGGTGGGTAAAATCCATTGAAGTGTACCGACCCACTCAACAATTAATCGTTTGAGGACTTTTGTTAAATCCAAATTTGCATTTGCATTGCATGGCCTTGTGGGTAAATCGACTCACCTCCTTCTCACCACAGATATTACTGATGATAGAGTTGGAGGCCGGACTGGCAGAGGGACCGAGGACTGCAACCACCCCTTTAGACATGATTTGGCACACTGTGAGAGGAAAGCCAAGTGTTATGATTAGCAAACATTTGATCGAACCAGATATGCAACACAACGCAAACCAACATCATGTGTGACACAACAGGAGACCCCAGCAAGCTAAAGGTAAATGGCATATTTGCTTTTTCTTTGGCTTTTTTGCATGACATCAATTGTTATCAAAGTTACTGGTAAGCCCCGATGCATTTGCTTTTTGTTGTGGTCACCATGGCCGTACATGGCCTTGGTTGCTGAGATACAAAACAAGTACCGGTAGTAGCCTGGTGCCTTTTCCCACTGGTTTGGATGTAAAGTGCAACTAAAAGCCTTGGCTTTGCTTCTAATGATGAGGAGGAGATGTGAAACAAGTAAGACACAACAAAAACAAAACAACTCTACTGTATTTATAGAGCACTTTATACCAAGTGCTGTACATGGAGCAAAAATATTTCATACAAAAACAAATAATAAAACAATAATGAATAACAAGGACAGTAGAAAGGACAAAAGCAGTCAAACTAACAATCAAGTCTCTTGCCAAGTAAAATGCCGAAGAATACAAATGAGTTTTGAGATGAGTTTTAACGACGGGCAGTGAGGGGGGCTCGCCGAATGTTCAGTGGGAGGTCATTCCAAAGAGAGGGACCTGCAACGGAAAAGGCTCGATCCCCGATGAGCCTCCGCTTAGTTCTTGGTACCTCTAATAATGTCTGATCCGCACACCTGAGGCAGGAGGAGCTCAGAGTGGTCAGACCGGGCGAGGCCATTTCAGGATTTGAAAACAAATAATAGGATCTTAAACAGAACTTTAAAATGTATCGAGAGCCACTGAAGGGATGCCAGAGTAGGAGTTATGTGCTCCCTCTTACGAGTACCAGTCAAGAGTCGGGCAGCAGCATTCTAGACCAACTGGAGAGAGGCGCTTAATGGAGGATTGGCTGACTCCAAAGTCAAGTGCATTACAGTCATCCAACCGGGATGCGACGAAGGCATGAATTACTGTTTCAAAGTGCTCGTGAGAAAGGAGAGGCTTTACTTTAGCCAGCTGCCTAAGATGAAAGAAGCTGGATTTCACAACGTGTGGTTATGCTGCATTTTATTCGGACACCCACACCCCCTATGGGTGGTTCATAGAGGCGTTATTTCTATATATGCAACGGAGCTATTTCCTACTAAAATTGCACCATCTTTGTAATGCCTCATCAATTAAGATATTTATTTCAGTTTTCGCAAGCGTCTGTGTGGCAATGTCTGATTTGTGGACAGATACAATCCAATCCAATACATATTTATTGATATAGCACTTTCACAACAGCTTCAACTGTAACAAATCGCTTTACGGAACAGTTAACATAAAATAACAAATTAATACAACACAACACATAAGACACAGACAGTCATGCAATCTGAACCATTTTTTCCTGCATACGCTTTGTTGTTTGAAGCAGTTCTAGATGAAAGAGGAGAGAATCAAAGTGTCCTTTCACCAGTGGATCAGAGACATCATGCTGAAAATGTGCACATGTCTGCTACAAGCTAAGTTTGAAAGCAAACAAGAAGCCGTAGCATCCATTGACGAAAAAAAAAAGATTGGCTCACATCTCCTGTCGTAAATCCGCTTCAATTCCATCACATTGATAATTAACTATGATCCTCGATTAAAAACTGATTCAAAAATTGTCCTCTTATGACCAATTTACTTGCTTAGATTCTGAATGTGGACATCTGCTCAGGGCAGGGCCAGATCTATTCTAGTGCGATAAGAGGGCTGCGGGCCACACCAAAATCATGATAAACCTCTAAACTGTTATCATCGTAACAGGTGCTAAAAACAATAGAATACAAAAAACAAAACAAAACAGATAAAATAACTATAATATATGATTGCTTGATTGATTGGTTTTCGCGTGTTCAATAAAATCGGACAAAGTCAAAGTGGCCCTTGCATCCTTCGATTTGTATGTGGAAAAACATTTTGGACACCCCTGGAATAGACCTTTTACACCTTCTTCCTTTGTCAGAGATGGTATTGTTTAGTGACAGTTAAGGATGAAAAACATTCTCAACAGTTAAATCTTTTACAATGGTGACAGTTTGACCCTCGAATGGATTATGACTGGATGCATTTGTTCCCATGGGAACATTTTTCAAGCACCAACCCCAAATGGATTAGACTTCAGAGATTCTACTGTATCTTGTGTGAGGAGCTGATATCAATCCAAAGCTGACACATATAGATGTGTGGAGACAGATAAGCATCTGAGGGAAAAAAAAAAAGAAGAAAAAAACCACCCGAGTGAAAGGCAGTCAACCAGAAATGGGCAGCGATAACCTTTTATTTACAGTGACATCATGAACTCTGCGTACATGTTTTATCTGATTTCCCTTAAAGGGATGAATACTAAAATTCTGACCTACTCTCCATGGTACACAGACCATATATTTTAATCTCCCATACCACAAAACAGACATTTCTTGTGAGTTTATAATCCCTGTTTTCCAATTAAACTTCTGGGCCCACTGAAGCGAGACAGACACAAGTAGTAGAACTATGTTAAGTATGAGTCTGTGAGTTATATGTGTGTGTGTGTGTGTGTGTGTGTGTGTGTGTGTGTGTGTGTGTGTGTGTGTGTGTGTGTGTGTAATATGGCTTTAGTTGCTGGGGTAGGTGCACACCATTAATAGTTTTGCATGTATGTGTCTGAGTGAAAGAAGCAAAGGAAGACACATTCCAGGCCTGTGCGGTGTATCCAAAGGCAGTGAATCGAATGATTAATAAGTAATCCCTTAGTCACCCATGGGGGCTGCAAAGATGTGCATATGTGCACATTTGCACTTGCGTGCCCCCACACGCTTTCATATGGCTTCAGCAGTTTGACTTGACTGTGAGCCAACATGCTGAGACACTTCCACTGGCACAGGTAGTCGGGTGTGCATGTTTGTCTCCACATGTTGTTTGCATCTATGCTTCTTGGACTCGCTTTTCAAAGACAATCGCCGGTTTTGGGGTAAGTACATTTCTGTCGGTTGACATTTCTTTTTACTGATTATTGCCAGTTATATTAAATGTTCAGTGGGTTGCTATACCATAACAGAGACACATAATGGCAGCTTGGAACATGCTTGTGTAAAAGACCGCTGATGTAAATGCACAATCCTCAATTTCAATAAAATTGGGATGTTGTGTAAAATGTAAATAAAAACAGAATACTGTACAATGATACAATACAAATCCTTTTCAAATCTGTATCCAATTGAATTCAAATCAAAGACAAGATATTTAATGTTCAGAATAATGAACATTTTTTTAAACATGATCTCAGTTTGAATTTGATGCCTGTAAAACATTCCAATAAATCTGGGATGGGGCAACAAAACACCTAGATCCGCATTCCCCACGTGGTACAACAGCATGGTTTTGAAGGAAATGAATGCAAATACTCAAGTGGCCTGCCAGCTGTCCAGACCTGTCTTCAATTGATATTGTGTGGAACGTTATAAAGCAAAAAACATGGCAATAGACACCTCGGACTGTTGATCCACTCAAGTGTATATCAAGCAAAATAGGCATCATCAATTCGTGTCCTCAGTTCCCAAGAGCTGATTAAGCGTTAAGTAATTGTGATGTAGCACATGCCCTTGTCCCAGCTGTTTTGAAACATTTGGCAAGGATCAAGTTCCAAATGAGTGAATATTTGCAAAAAAAAAAAAGTTTGACACAATGGCCCCAACTTCTCTGGAAATGGGGTACGTCATGTTTTAAAATGCAGTCGTGCACTAAAGCTATTTGATTTTGTCATGACCCACTCTAAATATCTACATCTATAGTCTTATCAGAGGGTGTCTGCGGCTCCCACAGCGATGACTGCGGTGGGACTGTCAAAGTCAAACACAATCTGTTACGTGATGCTGGTTGACCTCCATTTTCAAAACAAATCCTCCCTCAAGTAATTTATCGTGAAAAAGTTCCAGACGGATCATAAAACATTCATTAACTCTACAGGGAGTGTTTTAAGTGACATTATTAACTGTCTAACAAGTGGAAAGAGAAGTGTATGAAACTAAAATAAAGTAAAACTACTCAGCCTAGTGGATTTTTTCAACAAAAAACAGACTCACATGCTTGATGGTGGGATGAGCAAGCGAAATAAAGTAAAACTACTCAGCCTAGTGGATTTTTTTGTCATGTATTGGAGTATTAAGTTCCCAGGGATGCACCAACACTGTACATTTGTACTTGGACTCCCCAAGAAATACTCTGATACTACGACATTAATACTTTAAGTCAGAGAATTTATTGCATTGCTCAGTAGAATGAGCACCTAACACAATTTTTTTTTCTGGTTTTTTGGTGATCATCATACTTTTTGTCCATACAGTACCATCAAATTCTGCCCCCCCCCCCAAAAAAAAAGTCGAACAAAAAGCAGATTCTCCTGCTTGATGGTGGGATAAGCAAGCACATGTTTTGTTTGACCTTTGGTGCACATTTCTTATCACCACAGGGGAGGAATTTTTGGGTGAGGACAAGCAATTTTTAGATCAGGTACCGCGTTCCCTGAATGATATTTCCATCTCACCGCAGCCACTCATCCATCCCTAATCCAATTTCTCCCTGTAATTGCGCACACTGTCAGACACAAAACATTTGCCAAGTGTACACAGACAATCCTGGCACACCAACCTGGTTCACTGTAACATGCATGAAAAATATTTACAAAAGCCCCCACCCCGCCCTCAGTGTAAACCAGGTTACAAAAATGAATGTAAATATTGGCTCAAGAGAACCAGTGTTTTCATTTGACTGTACCTCAGAAGCCCTGTCAGTGACAGGAGAAAAAGACTCAAGTGGAAAAACAGCGCACACACGCTCCACTCATTGCGGATTACAGTAACCACGTAATGTATATCTGCAGTCATATGGCAATGATTTCAGATACTTTTAGATTAAAACATTAAAAAGGGGAATCGTCAGCATTGAGAACTGCAGAGGCACACAGAATTGGAAAAGG